GTTGTTTTTAACGTTTCCTATGTACTATGATAATGGGTAGCGGGATGATGACTATAACTATCACTTAAGAGATGCAGTGAAACAAAACACTTTTGGTTTTGTGCTTGTTTGTGCATGTCTTAGGTTCAAAATTTTACAGAGTCCAGTTGGTTCAGATTACTTAAAATATAAATTCATCAGAAAGGTGAAATGGTTTATCTCTGAAGCATGAACCAAAAATGTGAAACCTTTTCTCAAATACGCCCATTGTATTGTTAGCTTCTTTTGTGCTCCCCTGTCCACTGACTGGTTTACTTATTCATTATTTTGTCCATTCACTCACAAATATCATACAAAGGAAAAACAAAAAAACAACTCATGTTTCCTCCCCTCCAGGAGATGCATACAGAAGTTCTAGAATCTAGACCTACTGTATTGAAATTATGCACTGCTTCTTATAAAAAAAAGTGATGGGGAATCTAAATCAAATAGGAATGTCCAAATAACTCAAGCAGAATTTTGAAGGCCACGTAGGAATGAGATTAGAAGGGCTTCCTAACTTGATGGATTTTCAAAGGTATTTAGGGATGAAACTTGGTACTTTTAGGGACTCTTTGGACTTAACTAGAAAAATACGTAAACGTCAGATGAAGAGGGCCTGGGTGCTATGGCTGAGCTTGAATCTGACACTGCAAACCAGGAAGAGCCTTTGAGTTTCAAGGAGGGGAATAAAATAACCAGGCTTAAATTTTAGTACGGTCACTTAGGCACTAGTGTGGAAGATACTGGAGGAAGCATGGAACTAAACAAGGAAATAGGAGCCTACTGCACTAACCTGGGCGTGAACTAAGGCAGTTAACAGGGCAGGGTGTGGACAATTCACAACTTTGCAACCTCGATCAGCACAGCAGCATGAGCATTGTGTGGGAGCTTGTCAGAAATACAGAATCTTGTGCCACAACTCTTACCTTCTGAATCAGTATTTTAACAGGCTTTTTGGGTAGTCTGTATGTCTGGGAGGTACCACTCACAGCGATAAGGAATACTGTAAGGGTAATTACTAGAGGAAAAAAAAATCACTATCTTAGGTATGGTCACTGTGAGGTATCCATGGAACATCCCAGGCAGCTGATCCATAGCAGGTGGGTATATGGGTGTGGCAGATGGGTTGAAGTCAGGTTTGGTGATGCAATTTACCATTTATTAACGTGTTAGCATTTGAAGCCATGGTCCGACCCAAATTTCCTGGGATTTGCCCAGGAAAAGTATATCATTAGTCAGGCAGAGGGCCCAGGAGGGAGCCTTAAGAAACGCCATTATTTCAAGTCTCATACAGCAAAGGTACTCCACAAGAAACGGAAGGAACTTCCAGTTGTAGGAATGAGCAATGTGAGGAGTGGGAGGAAAGTTCCAAGTGGCAGGATGGTCACCATTCTCATTTTCCAGCAGATGTCACATAAGTATAGCCAAGAGTCCACTGGGTTTGGCAATCTTGATGTCAGAGTAAAGCTATGGGTGGAGGTTATTTCCCATTAAGTTCTTTCTTGACCTTAGTATGTGGGAATGCAATTTAGTTTCTGCTTTCAAAGTTCAGATGAGAAGAGTATGTGAGAGGAGCTTGGTATGGAGCCAGTTTGCAAATGTTCTCTCTTCCAATAGGATGGTAAATTCTTTAAGGAATAAGGAAGGCACATAAAGATGAGTAAGACCCAGTCCTAACTCGCAAGAGTTTATAACAAATAAGAAATAAGACAATTGTAGTACAAGATGGGGCATGTATTATATAAAATATTATAGGGATTCAAAAGAGAATTACACTATAGCTAGACAATCAGAAGAGGCTGCTTACTTCTCCTCAGCTGTTAGCAGAGATATGCACATACTTAATAATTAAACTACATTACTTGTTGACTTTTTCTCTCAACAGATCTGGGAGACTGTTAATAAAGTCCCATTTATTCCAAAATCCAAGGAAACTTCAAACTCATTCATGAGATATTTATTAAAATAACACATTTAGGGAAAAAAATCAATACAATGTATACATCATTACCGAAAACTGTATACCATCATACAAAAAAGGATTTTATTTTGGGAAAGCGATTCCTAATTTATGGCAAGTTTTACTTTCAGAAATAAAACCACAAAACAACACAATCTAATTCAATCTTAAAGACTGGCATGCTGAGCAAGGAATGTTCTTATTCTTTGTAGAAGCTCCTTCTTTACACTGTCAGGTACCAGGGCTGAAATATAAAAATACAAGAGTAAGAAGATTCCAATTAATATATGTCAATTTGAGATTTTATTCAGGATGAACACTCCCTACATTTATAATCTGTTTCAAAAATAACCCTCGTGCTTCAATAAAAAAATAGGTAAAGATATCTGAAAAAATCAAGTATATTTGCAATTCATTATTTGAATGAGCTATCCAATACCTAAATACTGCACATTGAGAAGGTGGAAAAATTCTTTAAATTAGGAGTGAAACGGGTCTTTTTTAAATACAGAGTCTGTAATAGATTGATAAGTTTGATTTAAGTGCAAAAACAACTTAATAAGCTTGATCAAAATCACCGTAAACAAGGCAAAAGATAAAAAGCTGAGAAAACACTCTTACAGAAATGGGCTAATCTCTCTACTACACAATTTCTTCAAACTGATATAAAAAAGATCAGCAGGCTAATAGAAAAATGAGGAAAGGAGATGAAGAAAAGGAGAAACATAGTTCTTAAAACATGAAGAGGGGTTCAACTTCACAACAGAAAATTTAAACCACATTCAGAGAGCACATTTTACCAATCAGACTGGCTAAAATCCAAAGGTCGATAATATAATGTGCTGACAAGACTAAGGGAAAAACTGGCACTCTCATATTAGCTGGTGGGAGTATACATTGGTACAAGATTTTTGGGAAGGTAATTTGGCAATATTTTACAGAAATGCATACTCTGACTCAGCAAAGATGCAAACACTGCAACAGTGATTGTATTTCCTATATTTTTACTTTTTGAATTTGAATGTGTATAGTCTATTCAGAGTATTAAACTAAAAATGAACAAAAAGCTCTGCTCTTTGAAATTTTAATGAATATGAAGTACCAATAAACAAATCTATCTGATTGTTTTTCCTTTTCTGGCTACTAATAAATAAGGGCAATAGAGAATTAACTAAAACTTCTGTTTTTTCCTTGTATCCAGAGGAAATTCAAAGCTTTAGATATAGCTCAGTATTTCCATGAAGAATTCCACAAATAAGTATATAAGTCAAATGGGATGAATATTCCTCTTCATAAATTTAGTTCAAGCCTGCCTAGAAATAAAGACTACATAATTAATTCAAATCCACTGGAAATGTGATCAAAATGTACATTAAATACTTTTAATCAAAATTATGGTGATGGAGAACAGATCAGTTGCCTTGGGGTTAAGGATAGCTTGAGGGAGTTTTACTGGGGTGGTGGTTACATGAATTTATACATGTGTATAAAATTCACAGAACTGCGCACTTTAAAAGGACAATTTAAAGAATAAAATATTGGGTTCTCGGAAAAGTCATGACACATTTTTGCAATGAAAAACATAGAAAAATACGTCATGACTTTTCCGACAACCCAATACTTCTCTTTAACAATAAAGACTACGAGCATAAAAGAAAAGATTTATTTTCACTTCTCTTTGCTTGCTCATTCTCTAGAAGGGGTCTATAAGTAACTGAAATAGCTCAGACACCAGTGTTGAAGAAGCAAAGGACAAGTTCTACCCTGTACAGCCAGCTCCTAACTCACGTTAGAAATTAAGCATAAATTAAAGAAGAAAAGTAGAAATTAAGGAAAATTATTTAAAAAATAAATCCATGGGGGGAACAATAAATACTGTTTTTGCTTTGTTTTTCTTTCCCTGAGACATGCTTGAAGAATAAGTCAGGTTTTGTTGTTGTTTTTACCTGGAAACAGGCCAAAAGAGATGGTTGAAAAGGACCATGGGGTTCTCTAGCTCCTTCCCTGCAGGCAGCAGTTCAGGGGAACTAGTATTCTCTAATAATAATTCTAACATTTTACACTTAAATTCTCTTTAGTTATTTCTGTGAGAGAAAACAACTAATTGGTCATCTAATTTACCTGCTTCCACTTAAACAAAACTTTCTCAAAATAAATGAAAATAATGTATCTACATCTGAGATGTATAATATAATGTAGTTCCTGATAATATTTATTACATAACATTGAAGTTAATGTATTTCCTTTCTTTCCTTTGCCTTCTGTAAACAAGGCATTAAAGGGGGAAATGAAGAAGGCGATTGTAGTGTGAATATGAAATATGGATTACCCTGAACGTGAATTTCTACAGCTACCAAATTCTTAATTAGACATTTAAGACTATGGAGCTTTGTTTATTTTTAAAAAGGAAAAATACAGCAGAGCAATGACTCAGGGACTAGAGTAAAACTTTGAATTATTAAATAGTTAAGTGGAGTTAAGCCATATCTGATAGTTTATAAATCTTAGCTTCAGGTAATATTTGCCTTTACAAAATCCCATAAAAATTATCTATCTTAACAACTATATCAACTTACATTTGTATACTGTTTTAGAGTGCAAAAACATTTTATACCTCTTATCTCATATGTTACTCAAAACCATGCTACAGAGGAAACTTTTCCCAATGAGGAGACACAAGTACCCAAATAATTCTGAAAAGGGTGTTCTTCTTCATAAAAATAAAAGAAAAGCTGAGCCAGCAAGAGAGAGAAAAAAACCAGGTCTTTAGCAAAAGTTTCCTTTCACACAATTTATATTCCTTACCTCTGCCTTTTGGTGTGATTTCAGCCACCAAGTCATCAACAGTAACGTGTTCTAGTCCTTTTTCTTTAATTACCTCTTATGCAAAAGCAAAAAACAAATCATATCATTTAAAATCATTATCTGTAAGAAAGATTTTCATAGAGGAAGGGTTAAGATCATGTTTTTAGAGTTCATATTGGTCTTTAACAACAACAAAAAAAAGACACTTTTTTCTTTTTCAATGAAGATTTAGTTCAATCTTAAACACATTAAGTATTCACCAAATCAAAATCATAAGTCTGTTCCTCTCTCAGCTAATAACCTGTAACTTAACAAATATTATAACATTTAGAATGAATTTGAACTGTAAGGTCAAATCTAACATTTGTAAAAAGCTGGAAACTTGTTATTTCACTATTATCATACCAGCTCTTAAATGTGTGGAGGGGAAAAAAAGCTATTATTTGTGTCTAACTTATAATTTCATATCCCAAAATTAAAATATAGAACAAATTTTTGTCCCTTTCTCTTCTCCAGGCTGGGCCAAAAGAAATAGAAGAGGGAAAGTAGTTACCATTTACTGAACCCCTAATATGAGCTGGGTGATTTATATCACTTAACATTCACAATAATCTAATAGGCTGGGCGTTTTTCCCACTTCACAGGCAGGACTACTGAGGCTTAAAGGTTAAATAACTCATCCAAACAGGAGTTGAAATCCGGCTCTAGTCTTCTACCAGTGAGGGTCTGTAAGACCTCAAAGTCTTATGTATTTACTAATTTGTCTCACTGCCTTCTCAGGGTTAATGTTATAATTAGTCTACGTTATCACTATTATTTGTAGAAGCCATTACAATACAATGAAAATTCATTAAAACTAACCAGGATGCCATTATACTAAAGGCTGAGCCAGAAATGAAGCTTGTCTTAGTGACATGTGTAATGTACCTAATGAGATCATAATCAACATTCGGCAATCTAGCAAGCTTCCATTTTACACTTAAAAAAAATACGTGTAATTTTCTAAGAGCTTTTAAAATGGATTTTTCAAAATGACACTGTTGAATACAGAGGAGATATAATTCCTACAAGTCTGCCAACCATAAATTGCTCAATTTATTAAATTAAAACATATTAGGAATAACTCATGTTTCACTTTGCATAGGCACACTGAAAACAGTGGGGTTCAATATTTTGAGGCCAGAGAAAATCTTGCCTCACTTGTTTTAGGAGAAAGAGAAAATTTCTACAACAAATATTTAGGAGTTAGGTCTAAATAGTATCACGGAGAGGAGGAAATCATTACTACAAGAGTCAATTTTCCATTTGTTTAAAATTAGATCGGAGCACTCAGTAACCCTTAAATCACTGACTACAATGTTTCTAGTGAGCCCCAGCCCAACACAGTGGAGAGCAATGGAATTGGCTTCTCTTCGAAATGAAACTGATTACCTTTACAGTGTGCCTTCAACTGGTCCTTCCAGCCACACTCAATTAGCTTAGCTCTCAGCAACTCTTTGAGGCTGTCAGAAAGAAGAATTGCCAAATTAAACTACAACAACGCTTAGGATCTTAGACAGGAACGTTTGAAGCAAAGGTTCAACTGTTCCATTAAAACCCCCTCCTTTCCAGTCACAAAACTTTAATCATGGCCTTCCCTTGGTTCTATTACTAAATAGTTCTTTGATCTTATGCAAGTCACTTAAGCTGTGGGCCTCATTTTCCTTATCAGTAAACTACAATGACGTGGACTGGGCACAATACTTCTCAAGAAACTACTCTGGCCTTTTCATACTGTCTACTTGCCCCACCAGCAGGAATAGTGTGGGTCTCACACAACTTCTGCAAGGTATTAGTTGAGCGTGGAGCAGAAGCACCCCTGAAACCTTTGACTACAAATTCTTATCCTTTAGCTTTCTTACTTCCCTGTTATCTCTCTAACTTCAAAGACTTCCCCCTCCTTTTTTCCATTAACCTTCTAAATTACACATTAACTATGGTATTTCATTGACTCTAACACTGCTTTTCCCCCCACATTTTAACAATTCAGTAATTGGCATGCCTATAATTTAACTGGCAGTGTTTTCTTGTTTCTTACTGATTATAAAAAAAAGGTGTCTATTGCAACTAATGGCATCATGGCTGCAATAAAGCATTTTCTTTCCAGTACTGTCTTATCCCTTTGCCATACCCACTCTTACAAATCCTCAGTCTTCAACCTAAATCATCTAAGTTTAAACATGTCGCATCCCAAACCGAACCACTTCTCTTTCAATACTCGTATACCTCCAGTATGTGACAATTCCAGCTCAGTATTTAATTAGGTCTTTCAATCTTAACAACCCAACTCTTGTTTCTCTCCCACCTCAACCTGTTCTTGTCACAACGGCAACTCCATGCTCCTGGTTCCTCAGGCTAGAAACCTTGGCAGCATCCTTTACTCGGCAACTTTATTAAAACTACACATCCAACTCATGAGTAAATCCTTTTGGTTCCAGTTTTTTAAAATATATCTACAATCCAAATGTTTTTCATCATCTCTGCCATTATGACCCTAGTTCAAACCACCATCTTGTCTTGACTGGATTGTTACCAAGCCTCCAAACTTGTCCCCCGGCTTCTTCCCTTGTGCAGTTCAGTTCTCCTCCCACTGCTCCAAAGCCTCCAGTGGCTCCCCAATTTACTCAGCATAAATCCCACCTTTCAGTGGCTTCCCAATGTTCTTAGAAAAGATTCCAAGTCTTTACTGCAGCGTAAATGGCCGTCCATGATCTGCCCCCACCCCAGCTATACCCTGACTTTATCTCTTCTTTCCCTTTTCCAATTTATTGTTTCATTAGTTTCCACGTGTGCCTCAAAACGCCAGGCAAGCACCTGTCTGAGGCCCTGGGCTCTCGGAGTGCCCCTAACTCCCTCATATCTTTCTGATCTCTTATCAATGAAGCCTTCTTTGCTTTTTTTTCTACCCCAAATAACATAGCCCTTTATTCTCTACTTTATATTTCCTCTAGAACTCATCACTATCTGACATATTACACACTTATTGCCTGTTTCCTCTCCTTAGAATGTAAGCTCCATGAAAGAACAGATTTCATTTTGTTCACTACTGTAACTTCAGCACCTTAACAGGACATGGCATGTGGCAGAAACTCAGTAACTAAGCTGCATGAATGAAAACACAAACGAAGTAAAAATACCGTATTCTGCTGTGTATAATGTGCACTGTTAAGCCCAAATTTGTGAGGGAAAAATAAGGATGCACATTATACATGGGTAATACTAATTCCCTATCTATATAAATGTTTTAGATTCTCTTATTTATGCTTATGAGTTAAAAGTGTAACTCTAGAAACCTATAATGATATCCATATGCAAAATAATACCCTGGAATACGATAATTGGTTTTGCTGAACTTATGACAAACTTGCAATCATGAAGAGTTCTTGGCCTTCTATGATGCGCAATAATAGTAAATCTGTTACTGGTACATGAAATTTCTTGTATCATAATATGTTAAAAAGTAAATGCTAAAATTCCTTTATAATACAAAAATCAAGTACCTAAATGTAAACAAATAAAAATTTGAGTTAAGAAATTAAAACGAAAAGGTTTTTTTCTCTGAAAGTTTGGGCCAAAAATGTGGGTGTGCATTATACATGGCAAAATACGGTAATACATAATCCCCTATGCTCATTACTGGCAATACTATCCTGTTTCCCAAGGCACCATTCTAGATTCCACAGCCTTCCTCATTCCTCATATTGAGGGCTGCTGATTTTACTTTAAAAAACAAAACTGTTAAGTTCTCCTTTCCATTTTGCTGTTTCTTATTTTTAACCAAATATAGTATAGAGGGTGCCCAAAAAAATGCATACACATTTTAAGAAAGGAAAAAACTATTAAAATTACACTGATGGTAACCACTTTGAGCACCTCTGTAACTGCAGAAGACAAATGTGACTTGTATTCATCTTTTGTTATCGGTATATATTGAGTATTATAATTTTAATACAGCTTTTTCCTTTCTTAAGATGTGTATACATTTTTTGGCACCTTCTGTACAACCTTCTAACGCATTCTTCTGCATTCTATCTCTAGCTTCCAGTCTATCCTCCACACGGCCGGAATAACATTTCTACAGTGTAAATATGATCTAGCCATTCCCTTATTAAAAATCTTTTAATGACTCCCACCAACAAAACATCAAAACAGGTGTTTTTACAAACCCACTACCAATTTTTCTGCCATTTTTTTTGACAGAAAGAAAAAAAAAAACAAAACTCTACCACTCTCAGTGTAAAAATCTGGGTAGGGTTCTAGTGATGGAAATGTGACCTAGGCAAGGATGATCATAATTGGACTATTAACTAAGTAAGATGGTAATCAAGCTAGGTCCTTTGCTGAAACTACTAGAAGGAAGGTAGTCTAAGCCAGATGGTTGTAAATTTTGTTACCTTATGGGTAGAGAATAATGCTAACACAGATGAAACCGTAGTTGAGAAAGAAAAAGAAAGACTTATTCTTGGCAATAATTTTTGAGTGTCTGGACCCAGTGGTGCCTAAAGCAATTTCAAGCTCTCGACTCTTTAGTTAGATGAGCTTATATATTTCCATTGGTTAAGCCAGTATCTGAGTTCACTTTCTATCATTTTTCAACTGAAAAAACTCTGACTCATACAAAATCTACACTCTTCCGGTCCACTGGTCCAGCCACACAGCATTCACCCTTTACACTCTAGCTTTAAATTTGCAATTCCCCAGAACATTATCATGTTGCAACAAAGCTCTGTGATTTTGCACATTCTGTTCCATCTGCTTAGATTGTATTCTTTACTTTATTGGCTTGCTAATCCTTCTCCCCCAGCTGAAGTACCTCTTTTACTATTCTATGAGGCCTTAACTCAGCGGTTCTCAACCTTCCTAATGCCACGACCCCTTAATACAGTTCCTCATGTTGTGGTGACCCCCAACCATAAAATTATTTTCATTGCTACTCTATAACTGTAATTTTGCTACTGTTATGAATCGTAATGTAAATATCTTTTTGTTTTCCAATGGTCTTAGGCGACCCTTGTGAAAGGGTCGTTCGACCCCCAAAGGGGTCGCGACCCACAGGTTGAGAACTGCTGCCTTAACTGATCACCTTAATCCCTTGGTGGAGCTGAAAGACCCTGCCTGTTCTTTATATATATTTCTCTCATACAATTTATTACCCTGCTTCTGGAAGCCTTTCTTGATTCCTTAGCCTCTCCTTTGTACTTCCAAACCTGTTTATTTTGCAAATATTTACTTGGCAAATTATGTGCTAGGCATGATACTGGGTATACTCTGCTGGTATTTCTGCTGTTAAGGACTTAGATTATCGGAGGATATAAACTAGCAAAGTAGGCGGTCACAATACAATGTGTTTAAATGCTATGCTAGACCAAGATGTAACAGATATCTAGAAAAGACATTTAAATTAAGACTTGAAAGGTGAGCTAGAATTAGCTAAAGATTAGGGTAAAAAGAAAAACGTTTCAGAGAGTAGGAACAGTGCATATACTCTTGAGGTTGAGAGAGCTTGGTAACTAAAACCGGTTCTCTTATGTGGTTTCCCTGTTAAAATCTGGGTAACATTGTCTCCAATTATAATTATTTGGGTGTTTTTCTTCTCATTATACATTCTTTGAGAGAAAGTCATTTCTTGTTCATCTTTCTACATCACCCACTTTCCTGTAAGTCTTGCAATACTGAACAGATCTAACTATTTTTTAGGGATATTAAGAAATGAAGCTTTTGATAATCTTTATTTTCTGTAATTCTTTCCACTGACATCAGTTTTGTTCCTTGATATTTGGATTCTTATATATAATGCAACTGTAATTTAAAGGTGTTAAATGTAATTTACTGACACCGTCTATTACTTACCGTTCTCTTTCTCCAGTTTCTATCAACTTTTGGTTAATCGCTGCTCTCATCTGCGCATCTTTGTTCATCTTGCTAACCTGAACATCAACACGTATTTTCAGATACAGAACACTTACAAAGCATTTTTCCCCCTAAATCTTCTAGGCAAGCATCCTAACACGTTTAAAATATTATCAACTAAAGGGGTGACAGATTTCAACAATGTGTTAGTTAACACTGTCGTTACTCTTAATATTTACTGCATCCCAAGAAGTCCTACTGATTAACTCACTTTACAATTTTCTTCCCCCATATACCCTTTATTAATGAGTCTTTGGATAATAATAATTATTGCAACATTTATTAATCACTATGTGCCTGGTACTAGGCTAACACATTGTTATTTTTTCAATCTCACTTAACCCCCAGAACTTATTTTTCCAAGTATTATTAACATAATATGTATTTTACAGATGAGGAAACTGAGGCACTGAGACAGAAAGTGATGAAAACAGGATTTGAACTCAGGTACTTTGACCCTAGTAGCCCCCAAACACTTTAACGGCACATTATAACTGGCTGTGAATCATTTCTGTACCTTAACTGCATTCAAAATTTTGGGGACACCGTAGAGCCTGTTGGTGAAAAAACGGAATTTCCAGATAAGGCTCCAAGTGCTTTACTTTTCACTGGGACACATCCAGAATTACAAATGCCAAATTAGCTGTGTGTGTGTGTGTGTGTGTGTGTGTGTGTGTGTGTGTTTGCTCTTTACCAAAGCTTGCTGGTGGGATAGGGGGAAAACAAATCCCAAACTATTTCCTAACTTGGAACAGTCTCAATTTTCAGTAAGACCAGCAGAACCAAAATGGTGTAGAAAGGAAAGTTAGGTTGTCAAAGTTGGAAGAAGCTAACTAACATTACTTCACCTAATCGGTCACTAACTTGAGACTAGTTTTGTTGTCTCCCATCTCGCCTGTATGAACACTCAGACTGGCAACGAGTTTTCAGAGTTCTTTTTTTGGGGAGTGGAACAGGAACGACGAGCGGTTGAGAAAGGACTTAGGAAATGTTGGCTTTTGTAGTTGGACGCTACATTTTCAAAATAAGTCTAAGGTCTAGTCGGTACCGTACCTAGAACATTGAACTTGACCTCTCGCCTTGGCTCCTAAAATACGGATAGTGACCTTGGACAAGTCAATTCTTAAAGGCCTCAGTTTTCTCACTGGTAAAACAAGGGCGCTAGGGGATCCCTCCCAGTTCAAACATTCTTTGGGAAAACAGAACAGGGCGGAGACAGCGGGAGAGGCGGGAGGGGAGGAGCCAGAAAACAAAGCGAGGACTGGCTTCAGGCCAACTCCGGTAGCACGCCCTGTCGGAGAGCCCTACAGGCCCGCGAGCGCGGGTCGGGGAAGCTAACGAAAGACAGCACATCGAAAGGAGCCTGGGCTGGGCCCGGGTCCCGGCCCTGAGGACCACGGGCATAGCTCACCACCATCACCGCGGGCGAGGGCCGTCCCTTCCCAGCGACGAAATGACCCTTGCGCTGACGACCGTTACCTACCACACTCTTCGGCTGCCCAGACTTAGACCCTCAGTAGCTCGGGCACCTAAGCACACAGAAAGCTAGAACACGCATTTCCGGGGCGGGGTCTCGCCACCCTGCCTATAATGTGAGAATTTAACCAGCGCGGGCCGCCTCCTGGTCGCTCAGCCCTCTGGGTAAGAGAGTCCAGCTCCGACTGTCGCGCGCGCAGTGCGTCCCCGGAAAACTACATAGCCCACTACGCAACGGTACCTATTTGCATGGGTACTACATTTCCCAGAAGGCATTTGGCACCGCGGTGGTTTCTGGGATGGGACCCATGCCGCCTCCCAGGCTCCGTGCTACGAGTGAAGCGCGGACCTTTCAACAAGAGCTTTATTAATTCTCACGCGAGGACCCTGGGAGGCAGATGATGGAGGTGGCCGCTAATTGCTCCCTGCGGGTGAAGAGACCTCTGTTGGATCCGCGATTCGAGGGTTACAAACTCTCCCTCGAGCCGCTGCCCAGTTACCAGCTGGAGCTTGACGCAGGTGGGAAGCGGCGGCGCCCCCTCGCACTCTGTTCCTTTCCCCTTTCGGATGCCATTGGCCCGACCCTTCCCGTATTTTCTTCCTGTCCGACTCAGGCAAGCAAGGCGACCGAGACTTCCTTACAATCTGTCGGGCTGGGGTGGACACGGGGAGCGGGGTCTCTGGAGAAGGACGCCCATCCCGGAACTCCGTGGCAGCCACCTTCTTGCGGCTCTTACGTAGCGGGACATCGGGCTGTCCCTGGGCCCGACAGCCCGGGCTCCCAGGTCCGGCGCGCGGGTGCTGTCTGCGCTCCGGCCGCCTGTCCGCCCCTGGCCTGGCTCCTGCAGTGGAGAAAGCGCAGAACGTGCTTACCCCCAGGAGCATCCTCTAAACGTGTGCGTTAGAAGCCACACCTCTTTGGAGGACCCCCACCCGTTACCCCCAGCCCCCGTTTCCTCTGGCCCGAGACCCATTTTTTAAAACAGAAACTCCATTGCATTTCAGAACATTTTCAATTACCTGGGTGCTAACAGATTCAGGACTGTATTGTGGAGAACATCTCTAGAAAATGTTGAGGAAAAGTGGATTTTTGTACCTATACTTCTACTACTTGTTTTGTTTATTTGTATCTGGCCAAAATAGTTATCCTTTTTACAAGATAAAGAATGGCATTTTCATTAATGATAAAGCGCCCAGAGATTTGCATTTTTAATACAAACCCCCTGTTGATTCTGATGGCTTTTGTCAGTGGATCACACTTTGAGAAATACTGATCTAGAGTTAATTAAGAAATGTTATAGTATCAAATAAGTAATTGTTTAATTCATTTATAAAATTCAGAAACATCTGTCCAGAGCCTGTTTTATGTTACATGATAATATGAAGATGAGTAAGACACGGCCTGTAACATAAAGGTGCAATTGTCTAGTTGGGAAAAATGTGTAAACAGATCATTATGAAACAAGGTGATGAGGCATTGATCGGGGTATGTTGTACCTAAGCGCCTTTCCAAACCAGCCTGGGGAATCTGGGAAAGATTCCTGGAGGAGTCCATATCTAACTTGAGCTTTGAAGGATAGGTAAGAGTTGATGGGGTAAAATAAAATGCGCTTGGTTTTTCTTTCCTTTCCTTTTCTTGTCCTACTCCATGTCAGTAAAAATCACCTCAAAATTCAGTGGCTCACAACAATAAGCAGTTACTGTTGCTCACAAGTCTACAGATCAGGTAGGTGGTTCTTTTAGTTGCGACTTGGGCTCATTCATCCATTTTTGTTCAGTTATGGGTCAGCTAGGCGGCTCTTACTCATCTTGGCTGGACTTCCTCATATATTTGGGGGTTCTCTGGCAATAGACTGGTTTAAGATTATTTCAGATAGTCCCTGCTTAACTCTGCTCCAAGTGGTCTCTTCTGTAGCTGGCTAGTCCAGGCTTATTCCAAGGGACAAGTAGCCCTGCACAAGCACTTTCCCAAGCTACTGCTTGGAATGTTTGCTGTTGTCCCATTGGCTTAGCAAGTCTTGTAATTAAGCCTAGAGTCAGTATAGCAACCTCATACAAAAAGGCATAGAACCAGGAGACATAAAAATTGGGACTGTTAGTGCAAGTCTGTATAGTTGCTTATGCTGAAGTCATGGAGTGTTTCTTCTTTAAGGACCACCCCCCACCCCCCACCCCCGGCCATTCAATTTGTCAGCAAATCCAGTTAACTAAAGATTTGACTTCTCTGTTCCTCCGTCCTTGGCCAAATCACAGTTATCTCTTATCTAACCTCCAGTAGCTTCCTGACTATCCCTCCTGTCTTCACTTTTGGGCTCCTTCATTCCATTCCCCATAGGCAGCACTATCATAGTTTTTAATTCTATATTGATTTGATATCTGTTACCTCCACTAGACTTAGACTGTAAGCTCCACAAAGACAGTGATGTTTCTTTTTTTTTTCACTCATCTATCATTGCTCTTAGCATAGTAGATACCCAGTAAATGAAGAAGAAAAGGAGGAAAAACTCTTCTGGGAAAGTGAGACAGGATTTAGAAAGGTACGTGTTTGTCTTTTGAACTTTATCCTGTAAGTCAGTGTTTCCCAGAATTCTTCATGGGCCCTTACAATAAGAAATAAAGCTCATCTATCTTAGATTTGCCAACTTCTTAATTTGTCAAGGGGAGATGTTTCTTAAAAACGGCCCTGTATTCATCCATCTTTTCATAAATAAAAGGAGATTTTAACACCAAAAAAGCAGGAAGCAATATCTCTCGATCAGTAGCTTTCTAAATTGAATATATTAACTTTATTAAAAACTCACTAAGTTGTCCTTTTTCTCCCCTCATTTCACCAGTGTTGGTCTTAGGATGCACAGCTGGAGGTGAAGAGGTGCGATTTAGGGTTTTAAGTATAAAAGGGAAATCGACTTGAGGATTTAATGGTTTACTCTTGGGCTCTGGAGGTTGAATTTGGAAAATAAGAGGAATGGAGACAGAGGGATCATCTTGGAGGCTTTTGCGATAATAGTCCACATGAGTAGCTTGCATTAAGATTTACTTGAGGATGATGATGGAGAGGTTAAATCTTTTAAAAACTATCAGTTCTAGAGATAGCAAGATTGAGGAGCTCCTCCTGACAACTTGACTTCTTTGATACCCAAGACATTTACATAGTTTAGCAAACCCTTAGTGGGCACTTCTGGTGTGCAAAGTTCTGTGTTTAGGATGTGAGGATGAAGATGTGGTCTGTGGTCTCAGAGCTTGGAGCAGCAAGGTTTATTCTCTTATTTAAATAATGTTAAGTTGTTTTAAAATTCTCTCTGCTATGTAAATGGTAAATGTCACTTGGTCTTTTTCTGTTGCAAAGAACTAAGAAAAAAGCCCTCTTTTATAAATTGTAATTGCCTTTTGACCTAGCACTTCCATTTTGGGACATTTATCTTACAGATAATGTTTTTTCCCCTAGAATCTTTATTCAGTAAATGTCTTTGTTTATATTTTCCCTCGATATTTCACCTAGCTAACTCGTACTCCATTCTTTCATCTTGGTTTACAGGTTACTTAGAGATTCCTTCTTTGACTATCTAGTTAGAATCCATGTTATAGGATCTGTAATCTGTACATATTGGAATCTGTATTATATTGTACTTTCCCATAGACTATATCACACTTTTTTGGTGTCTGTTTTCTCTGCTAAGGTTGTTAGTTCTGTACTGATGGGTCCATCTTTTTCAGTCCTTTATTTTTAGGGCTGAAGCATGCCTGATGAGTAGTAAATTATTTTATATCACACACATTAAACAGTTTTATTGAAATATAATTGACAATAAACACATAATTAAGTATATAGTTTGGCATATTTTGATACATGTATACACTCATGAAGTTGTCACCACAATCAAGATATTAAACCTTAGCTATCATCCCCCAACGTTCCTTGTGCCCTTCTGTAACCAGCCCGCTGTTCCTTCCCCATACCCCCCTTCAATCCCTAAGCAGCTACTGATGTACTTTCTGTCACTATATATTATATTAATTTACATTTTTTAGATTTTTATATTTATGGAATTATACAGTAGTTACTCTTTTTTGTCTGGCTTTTCACTCAGCATAATTATTTTGAGTTCATCCTTGTGTGAGAGAGTGATACTGAAGTCACTGACTATAATTGTAAATTTTTCTATGTTTCCCCACAGTTCTATCAGTTTTTGCTTCATATATTTTTGAAGCTCTGTCATGTTGCGTAAACATTGATTATTGTGTCCTCTTGATAAATTGATCCCTTTATCATTATGAAATAACCTTCTTTATCCTTGGTGATAGTCTAGCTCTGAAATCTGTCTGATACTAAAATAATCACTCCAGCTGTCTTTTGAGTAATGTTACCATAGTATGTATGTGTGTGTGTGTATATATATATATTATATTATATATATATAATATATATATATATATATTTCCATCTTTTTACTGTTAGCCTCTTAGTGTCTTAGTATTTAACATACATTTCTTATTGGCAGAAATAGTTGGGTCTTGCTTTTTTATTCAATCTGACAATCTTTTAATTAGACATTTATATTTAATGTGATTATTGATTTTGTTAGGTTTGGGTCTTTTATCTTGCTATTGGTATTCTGTTTGTCCCATCTAGTCTTCAGGAAAATGGAATTTTCCCACTTTACAGCCTTCTTTTGGATTATTATTATTTTTATTTTTTAAGATTTTATTGGGGAATTGGGGGAAGGGGAACAGACAAGTTGCTGTTGTTTTGTTCTTTAGTCTAGTTGTGGAGGACGTTGCTTCACTGGCCCAAGTTGGCACCATCATTGCGCTCTGCCCGGGCGAGACACATCAGTCGCCGGCTTCTGGAC